ATGGCACTTGCGCTGGGCATTATGGTACCATGCCAATCGTTCCCATCGAAAAGCCTGCAAGCGCGATTAGGTCCATTCATCCTGATCCAAGTAGTCTGACCAAAGGGTGTTAGGCCGAGTCTCGATTGCAATTCCCCACTCCACAAAGGCGAAGTTGAAATCCTTCGAAGAACAATTTTCTTTGATTAATTGAAAGCATGGGTGAAGGCAGACCGCTTTGCCAACGTCGCGATCGCGGTGCACGCAGCTGACAAAATTGGTGCAATGGTAGCCTGTCATACCGTAATGCCCTAAACGAGCCAGTTCCGCGTCTTTGCAGATATTCTTATACTGTCGCGCCGCTCCAGAGAAGATTGACTTCGCTCCCAGTGCGAGCAGGTCTATCATCTGCACCCAATTAGATAACGCAAGAGACAACCTGACTAGACGAACCAAACCATGGTGCAAAAGTACCGTAATTTCCTCTGGGCTATTTGCCTGGTGTTGATCGTACGCATTCAAGATAGACCCTGCACGTCCTCCATTGGGCTGGTGGGTACCAAGCCCAGTCATAGACCCAAGATGTGACCATTGAGCAAGAGCGGTTCGTCGTTGGATGCCCTTTATCTTGACCAAAAGGTGGCATGCGCGGATTATATCCAAGATCTCCTCTGAGAATATCTCGTACCGCACCGCCGCTATCTAGAAAGCGGTTGGAGCCGGTCGTATTTTTTAAAAAGCTTCCCTACGTACCAAACGTCGCAAACCGTTTTCCCGACAGTAAAAACGAATAAGGTCTCGGCCACATAGCTGTTGTACATCTGGTCGTGGATGATAGTAGATCAGACCAAGTTGTTCGGGGGTCACGTATAGCTGGGGGGTGGATTCGGACTCCGCAGTTTTTTCAGACTCTGCGGTTTTTGCAGGCTTGCCCTGGGCCTTGAGAAATGCGTGATAAACGTGCTCGATAAACCTGATAAAAAGGAGATACCTTGAGAGGGTCCGTTTTAGCCAACTCGGGGGGCGGCTTAGCAGATTTAGGCTGCGCAAAGATTACAGCCCAGACACCACAGAGGAAGTCTAAAGTACCTTGTGCAACTTGGGTTGCAAGCGGTCGTTGGGTTCCGCATGGGTGATAGCGGCATCTTTGAAACGTTGAAGATCGCTTTGGCGAGTCACCTCCACTACCCAGGCACATCGTTGGTGGGGGGGTAACTTCAAACCCCTACACTTATCACAACCGTCGTCTTCGTACCAATCGGGCACCACAAGTTCCGAATCGTCGTCCTTCATGGTGACGCTGACCCGGTAGTGCTGTTGCTCCGATTTCAGATGATTCTCACGGTTTCGCCGCTTCCTTTCGCTCGCCGTTAGTGGGCGATCGGTCTTCGGGCGTTCTTTCTGTGTTCCTTTGGAAAATAGTTGTTGATCTGCGATTCGTAGCACCTTTCGTTGCCAAATGGTCTCCGAGATGATGATGGCAAGGTTGGCATCCAGAGTGGAGATGAGAGCGTAAGCTTGAGGGTGAATGTCCGTTGCCAGATCTTGAAACACGTCGGGGTTGGCTAGTGGGTTAACCAGATAGGACTGAATGCGACGGTATAAGCGAGCCGGGCTCCAAGTAGCAGAGCCATGTAACAACAAGGGAGCACTCTAAACTGAAAATTAGATTCAAGTTAACCGCAGCCTTAAGTCAAAAATAAACACCGGATCTTGGAGGACCAGAGACTCTAGGTGAGGCTGTAACCAAAGGCGCCAATTGAGCTGAAATCCTGACGCATTTACTAGAAAGAAGACCGCCATGGGATCGCACGGCCATACGGCCATTTCAGGCTTAGAACTGATAAAACTCAGCAGAGTGGGAACAAAATCCGGACTTGGAGGGGGTGGCCCTGTGGGAACCGGGGTTTCCTGCCCAAAATAGATTATCGGAGTTCCAGGAGGGGAAAGCGAAAGATACCAGATTGGCCCCCGGCGGAGGAGGATACCATTTAAGTAAAATCAACTTGTAGGCCATCTTCCACTGATACAGGCGGAAAGATGGTACGAGTAAGCGTCCCAATTTGAATTCCACAAAGTTGTTGGGTCGGCAAAGCTCAAAAAGGCGATTTTCTAAACCACTCTTCTAGAGAAAAATTGGATATATGTCACATATATTGGTGGGATTACCTTGAGTAATTTTTGAAACCCAACCGACTTGTAAGACGACTGAGGAATTTTCTTCATCGCTCGAATATCGTCGCGTACATGTACTATGGCAGCGTCAAGGTTCGTAGGTGCATCGGGCTAGATATCTGAGTTCAGCCATGTTCGAAGCGTATGGAGGAATCTGGACTGACCGAAAAGAAAAGGGTATCCAAGTGAAGGCAAATGGCGGAGATATTCCAAAGGTCGTCGTCAACCCCCTCCGTATCCACGTCCATCTTATCCTCCAGGAGGAGTGGGTCCTCGAAAATATCCATGGAATCATCACTGCAGCTTTCACGGTTCGACGAGCTTCCGCTACCGTGGTACGATGAATCGTCATCACTAGATGTGTACCCCTCGTCGTCATCGTCGTCGTCTTCTTCTTCTAGATAGTCTTCATCTTCGTCCTCTCCATCTTCTTCCGCGTCGGATTCGTCGTAAATATCTAATGCCTCCATAAAAGTATCGGGAGCTATCAAGCCGTCTAAGAGGCATAGCTGCTCTAGCGGTGCTGGCTAACGAGAGTCATTCTAGAATCTCTAAATCACCGTTGAGCTTACCAAAGAGTGTTCCAAAGCAGGGGCTACGTCCAAATATCTACGTCGAATGGCGAGGAGCCGCCGACGTGCCTCAGCCATGACCTCTGGATGGTCCACCTGGTGGAGGAACCCCTCGTTATAGCGATATTCCTGGTACGCGACGAAATCTTCAACTAGAGACTCAAGGTAGTCGGATGAAAGCTGGGTTACGTCCACCCCAAGTATTCGGGTCAGATAGTTGAGGACCAGATTGCGCTGGATGGGCAAGATCAGAGGGCGTGCAGAAGGGTATGTCCAATATACCTCAAGTGCACCTGTTTGCAGCGTGCCCAAAAAGCCTATTTCGCAGATCTCGAACGTCTCGAGTCAAGCCTTCTTGAAATTGTCGGCGTAGATACGAGAGTAAAGAATTAGCCCATATGGGATTATCCCATATATCATGGGCAAGCTCCCGACATGAGCTCACATGTGGGTCCCAGACGTAGTGCGATTTGCTCATGGAATGCGAGAGGACAAGCTGTGACAATCGTGACATCGCGGCCCTTTTTGTTTGTTTATACTTATACCCGTACTATTGAGACGCGGTGGCCGGGTTGTCCTGGTTGTCCAGCCGGTCCACGGTGCAGGTCTCGGGTGTGGTTTCGAGGATAGCGAAAGGCGGGAGCGGTGACAGTCCCTGACTGTGGCTGGCCGAAGCTTGCGGAACATGCAAGCTCTCCAACTCTCAAGCTTCTTTTAGGCCGATCCAATATTGCAGGGCCACAGATCTGCAAGTCTGACATACCAGACGGCGGACCTGTGAAACGAAAACACACGCTTATCCGCGCCCCGGAAAGGATTTGCTCTTCCCCGCCGATCTCGAGGCAGACGACGCCTGGCCATACTGTCGGGTTATGGCTCAAATCCACCCAACCGAAGGCCAAACGACCATCAAACTCACCAATCACCCATTCCTCATCCTCCGTCTCCATCTCCCTTGCCCGCGCTCACCACCTCCGCCATTCGCAGATCACGTGCCACGCCGAGTCGCCGCGGGACTTCGACTCTCATAGCTCTCCCTCCTTCATGACGCCCCGCACGTGATAGGTCGCCTGTTCGATCCCCGCTAAAAAAAACATTTTTAAATCATTTTCCAGGCCAAACAAGGGCGGGATCAGTATATGTCGAGCAGATTTGAAGCCTTAGCATGTTATTGATGTATCAGTGGTCCATAGCGTGGTTTCCGAGTGTTTCTTGTCGCTTGTTCGACACCCGCTGGGTGTTATTTTTAATCTTTTGTTTTTCTCGACGCCCTCACGTGTCCCTCACGTGCGCGTCAGTCACGCGTCACATTTTGTTTATTCCCCGCCATGTCCGACTCATCCGACGACGAAAAACACGCCGCCCGGCACTCACCAATGTACTGGCACCAATTGCCGCCTTCCTGCTGCACCTAGCAAGAAGAAATGCCCACGCTGTCTCGAGCAAGGGAGGGCGGCGGCGAAGAAGTACCGCCAGAAGAGGAAGGCCAAAGATGGCAGCGGACCTGCTCCGAAGAAGCAGAAGCGTGATGGGCTGAACCCGACTGACGCGTCCAAACCCATACCCAACAGCCACGCACGACATAGCTCTGATCTGGAGTCGTCTGACGAAGGATCTGACACGGATTCTTCTTCCTATGAGGCAAGTACAATCTCATCGCATGATTTCTGTTGTGAACAGTGGATTAGATATTCCAATCACCCGAGGAACTATTCCTAGCACTGCGGAGACGCGTCAAAGACGACACATTTGACCTGCATTTCAAAGCCCAGGCAACACTCGCAGTCGACCCACAGTTTGACGCGCGTGAACGCGAGAAAACGACCGCCGTCGATGTCTGGAAAGCCTCGGGGTTCCATTTCACGTGAGTCCGCCAATTTATGGGGTCGGTATTGCAAGGTAATCATTGATTTCAGTGTTCACCGGCACCGCCGCGGCGTGCACTGAAGACAGGCCATTCCACGACTTATTGGTGCTCACAGGATGCCGCAAGAAAGAAGGACGCAAAGCCCTCGGCCAAACCCGGTGCGAAACATCGCGAAACACCGGGCATGGATCGCTTCCCATGCAAGAGTCGTCTCACAATTGCATGCCGCACCGCAGGCGTTGGCGCAAATGGCAAACCAACGCTATTCATCAATTTCAAACACGCGATGCGACACATTGTGTACCGGGATACATCAATGCCGGCGGCAGCAATCGCCATGATTCGTGACGCCGACGACAGCCTGACTCCCGCGGAACTCGCCGTCAAGGTCATAGCCAAGTTCAAGGATGTCTCCCGAGCGCAGGTCAACAATATCTGGCGCCAAAAAATGGAGGCATTCTATAAGCGGGACGATAATCAGCTCAAATCTGCGGCGGCTACTACTGAGTGAGCTTGCGCACCTTGGCGTTGACGTGCTGGAGCCTGTGGGAGTACCCCCGGATGTCGAAATTCTGGCTTGGGGTATGAGGAAAATCGCCCAGCCACTGCGTGATACTGTCCAGGAGATTGCTATGGACGCGACATGTAAGTAACACAACTATAGGTATACATCTCTCTGACCAGCATCAGATAACACGAATTCACGCAATCTTGAGCTCTACGCCGTCATGGGAGAGCTCGATAACGCGGGTTTCCCGTTGGCATATTGCTTGATGTCGACTGCGACGTCTATCAGCCAGGGCAAACGAAAGAACACTCTTGCCGCATTTCTGTCATGTGTCAAAGCACAATATGGGATTCAGCCCAAATTCACCCATGTCGACAAGGACCTCGGCGAGATTGCGGCTCTCAAGCTTGTCTGGCCACAGGCGAAGACGTCCATTTGCTGGTGGCATGTCAATGACGCGGTCGGCAAGCGTATTCGGATGACAAAGCTGGCGACAACCAAGTACAAGCCACAGCGTGCCCGCGAAGAGTTTAGCTTTATCGACCTAATTTTGCGCCAGCTGGAAAGCCGGACAAGGAAGAATATGAGGGTGGACGTCCGGAGGATGTGTCTGAAGATGAAGATGAGCCTGAGTTACCCACACCAACACACAATCCATCGCGACTCACCGTTCGGCTTCCCATCCGTCAGCCATCACCACCGAGGCGTCTCGATGCTAGCGGCATTCCGGTCATCCGGATTCAACCTGGGCCATTCATCTACGACTCGTCAGACGACAGCTCAGACGCTGCAATCGAGACCGACGATGAAGATGACACATCCGAGTCAGAGGTGACGCAACTGCTCGGGAAGCGCAAACGAAAGTCGCCCAAGCGCCTGTTTTGTCCACCAGAGCAGCAGGCGCCGCTCATTGAGATGATGAAGCAGCACTCGCATGCCCACCCGCTGATTCCTGGCTTCTGTCATCCAAGCGCAGACGGGATCCGTTACTGGGCTGTCAAGCAGATGTACGACTTCTGCGTAGCCCATGATCTTCGAGAGGCGTGGGCATACCTGTGGGGAAACTGGTATCGTTCCGGCCGGTGGGAGATCTGGGTACGCTCCGCACATCCAATGATCCCTCGTCTACGGACAACAATGATCTGCGAAAGCCAGTAAGTCCCTTCGGTAGCTGCCAATTAACGCGGCAAGCTCACTTGATATAGTTGGCGCAAGTTAAAGCAAGAGTACCTCCACGAATTTCACTGCCCACGACTTGATCTCCTGGTCTGGGTCCTTGTGACAAAACTCTGTCCACCTTACTACGACAAACTAGTCAAGTTGACAACATACCTCGGACGAACGCGAATTTCGGAGCTGCCATCCTGGCGGGGGACGCTGCTCAGTGTATGGCGCAAACTTGAGGGACGTGACGTCTCCGACCGTGTGCAGGATGGCTATCGCCCGGATGTCAGGCGCTGGGTCTGCTCCTGCCCCTCCTATGCGACGAGCAGATTCCTCATCTGCAAGCACCTGATTCGGCTCGTCAAACGTGTCTCAACACGATTCTTCCGGGAGGTTCAACGACAGCGGACCACGCCATTCTGGCAGCACCCGGACTTGGTGCCTGTTGATGGAGACGGACAAACACCGGATGTTACACAGGAGGAAGGCCCGCGCGATTGGGAAGTGCCTGATGACGAGGATGATGAAGGTCCACTCGGCGCCGGCCCATATGCCGAGACCGAGGCCGATCGCGAGTTTGAAGCATCTGCCGCCACCTTTGAAGCCGAATTTGACGACGAGATCGCCCTCTTGGAGAGCTTTGTGGCGGGACTCAAGCACCAGCGGCAGTTTCGGGACCCCAAGATGTTAGAGGTGTTGCGCAAGAAGGGCGGCAAGGGAATACTGTTTCGTTTGCCCTTGAGTTTAAATGGCATCATCTGCGCTACTTCCTGCTCCAGTTTCGCTCGTTGTCCTGGCTCGTTTGGCATGGTTCATCCGCCTGTTGCGCACCCATGGATCATACCCGCCAGCACGTCGTCGATTGATGTCAAACTCGACTTTGGCAAGGATGGGGATGAGGGAATCACGGTCAAGACCTGGTAAATCAAGCGCGGCTCGGGAAGTTGCTGGCGTTTCAGCTTCACCATCGTCATCCGCATTGGATATGGAGCGCACTCCCCAGATTTCGCTGGCACTCTGAAGATATTAATATCGATTGCTAGTTCTCTAAGTAGATAAGCCTCAAGTATTCCGAGCCATAGCCAAAGACCTTCGCAATCGGATTCAGAGTTACAAACGGTGCGACCGGCTACGGTATTTACTTGACTCCGGGTACGACAAATCAGCTGCCGTAATCCTGGATCATGTGCGCTAAAACTTGAATATCTCCGCAGACCCATGCATCGAATATACCTTGCCACTCCTTCGATCTGGGAGGTCCAAGGTTCAAGTAGAGACTCTGGAGCTTTCTATGGTTATCATTGGCAACGGCCGAGGCCTTCATCGTCCTGGAGATGCGCCGAACCAGATCTTTGGCTCCATGAACGGAGAGACTTGTGCCAGCGACTAAAAGAAGATCCACTTCTGCATTGCTCGCAGCCGTCTCATCCCTTGCAATATACTCTCCGATAGATTCACCATCCGGGTGGGCCTCGTTGTACAACACCACCGAAGGCCGAAGAAGTCCAACTCGACGCTGCCGCCGAAGACTTCGATCGCGTGGTTGGCCGAGTTTTTCTATGCATTTAGGACAGGAGATAACGGCGGCGCTACAAAGTTCGGAAATATACTCTTGGGTTCCAAATGGCGTGGAACAAGCGGTACAATGCATGCGATGCACGGTGCCATGCAGCGGGACACAGATGGTGTCCGTAGAATCCGGGTCGGTACCGACGGGCCGTAAGCCGGCTTCGATTTCAAGGCCATCAACGTTCTGGGTGTAGACGCGTCGAAGGGTTCCCCGGTTCTGTAAACTCGCAAGGAGGCGATGGAAGGCAGTGGGTTTCGCCACGGACGCCTTCTCGTGAAGCTGGCCAATCACTTGATTGAAGTCCGCTATGGAATCAAGGGACTGCGCGAGTGAGCAGAATTCGAGCAAGCGGCGCTCATAACTGACCCGGAAAACTTCCAAGGCATCGAAAAATTGGCCATTATTGAGCTGTAACTGGGGATCGACGGTATTCCCAGGCTTCGGCCTGGACCTGTGGCTACCTCGAAAAGCAGGGATGCCTGCCTGAACCGAGATTCCTGCGCCTGGTAGCCGTAAGCTCAACTATGTTCAATGGTATGTTGCAACGACGCACCACAGAGAACTACAATATTTTTGGCTTGGTCAATGGCGCTAAGGACTTCAAGGATATCCGCAGATGGGTTGTGGGAAGGCTGGATGTATGAGGGCAGCGAACGTTGCTCTGGCCCTGTTGCCGTGTTGAGATCAAGGGGAATGAGGAGGGTCATCGTGTTGAGGGTAGGATTTGAACTGGAACGGGGGGTTAAGTACGCAGTGCTACTCGTTTGCTATTCCAAGCGGTGGGTCAGATATCCGTTACTCTCAGACACTCGAGGCTGATCCGCTTTCGCAGTGGATCAAAAGCTTCAAGTCCGACCCGCTTTTTGATCCACCTTTCGATCTGGTCGTGCTTTCAGCGTCGATCTAGATTTCAAGTCTATGGGTGTTAGGTTTTAGATCTTAGAGATGTACAGATACGCACTTCAAGAATATCTTTGAATAGGTCAGCCCATTGGAGCGGCGACGTCCGGGGCGGGACGGGACGGCCCAGGCTACAGTTGAAACTTAAAAGTTGGTTAACTTCTCGGCGCTGAAAACTATTGGATTCAATTGACGCTTGTGAGAGGTTTCATTCAGCCAGAAAGTGGTTTCTGTGGCATTCTCCGGAGTCCGGACTCAGGCAGCGGCTGCAGCGATTCGGAGTTGCAGTACACTTATGGTGACTGGTAGTCTATAGCTATCGACCTAAGCTATACAATGGGTGGACTGATAAGCCTTCAATGCGCGCCTTACCGGTGCGGTTTTACGGAGCAACAACGAAAGGTCGAAAGCTGGGTCGTGTTGCGTCACAACCGTAGCTCACGTGTTCCGAGTCCTTCTAGTTGATATTATTATTATGTATCTCGACCTTCAAACCGTTGTTTGGATGTAAGGCGCAAGTTGACCCGATGCAGTTCTCCACTTCAAAAGTAAAACCCGCTGCATTTTCAAAGTTATCATGAATTACGATTCGACATGCCAGCCTTGATCACGATCGGATCTGACGCCTACGAGTACGAAAAATAACCGCGTCACCCAACTACAGCCCCAACTAGACCGACAGCACTATTCCATCTGACGCTTAGCGACGCCAGGCGAGATTGCGCTTGATTAGATCGAGGACTTGGGTCCTAGAATATTGCGCTGCCGCTGGGACTCGGCCTCCTTGGGAGACCTGGCGGTCGACAATGGAAAAATCGAACGTAACCAACCATTCGGAAGCTGTTAGATCGGACTCTTGTTGGTTGGACAACGCCTCGGACGAAGTGGAGAGGCGCTGGTAGACTTCCTTTACGTCTTGATGCAAAGTTACCAGATTTTTGAAGGAGTTCGGGGCTGGGAATTGGACGATGCGAGTGGAAAGCCACACGATAAAATCATGAAGCTGAACGCTCTGCCCATTCAGTTGCACGGTCGCAACTAATCCCTTGGCTGGCCATTGAAACCCAATTCGGGCGGCCATGGATTGGACGACCCGCACAATTTGACAGTGCTTGTAGCCCACTCCGTAGGCCGTTTCCACGAGTTCTTCTAAAGGGCCTAAATCCAACTGTAACGATTCCAAAGCTTGATTTTCCCTGCGAGTTTCAGGTGGTCGATAGGCAGCGTTCGAGGGACCTGGGAGAGCCTGAGGGTAGTTTCCAGCAGACGGTGGAGGACTACTATCGTGAGCTAATATCGCCATGTTCTCTCGTTCGTAATCGAGGTCGGAGTCGGATGAGTACGTGGGACGCAGGTTTCGGCTGTGTGGTGAAAAATCCAACTCCGTCTCCTAAAAATATGAATATTGCGGATTGGGATCAAAAATGGATACGGAAGGGTAACCGCCACACCCATAAGTACAACACGAAGCCCACAGAGTTGGGGTCGGGGGCATGCCGTGGACTAAGCGCAATCGGCTTTCCGGAGGGAAAATTGAGCGTTGTAGAAGATCGTGAGTGTGTCCCAACACTCGATAAGGTATATCTCTAAAGCGTCGTATGTTGGGATCCACTGCTTTGTCGGAAGTACCAACGCCATAACCCAACGTAGATTGCCATATCGAGCGGAATTCTTCGGCGTCTAAAACAACCTGCATGAAGAGGTCTTCGACGAAAAACCGAATGGAGGTCAGGAAAAGGACTTGGGTCGATCTTGATCACCAGATTCTGCTCTGGTACATCCAATCGTTCTAAATGAATATGGAGAATGAAAGAGCTGGGCGTCATATTACGCTGTCTTTCCCTCCAGTGAGCCTCGTAGTCTGTGGGGCTAATAAACCCAGCTTCGTAGCCAGGCACGAGGCGGAGCTCTGCCAGAAGCAAAGGTAGGGCCGTCAAAGCAGGAGTACCATCCACCGTACTGGCGTCGCCCGGAGGTAGACGAGGAGTGCCACGTGGGACTACGATGCGACTGGGATAACGAGGCCTTGGAGGCGGAGGTGAGCTTGCAGTCGAAATCGGCGATCGAGTGATGGGTTGGCCGCGGCCGTGCCAGTGGATATCTTCTACCTCATCCGAGCCGTCCGGTACCGTTCCACCAACTCCTAGTTGTGCATGACTCGGATCCGGGCGTAGACTTGAAGCTGACTGAGTCGGGGTAAGCTACGATGTGGGCAGCGCTGGAAAGTCACCATAAGAGGTCGAATCTCTTCGCTAAGGGCCCGGGACGGAGGCTCGGAAGGGGAAGCCTCGTGAATAATTACTGAGGCCGGCGATAAACCAGTTCCTTCGCCGATGGAATTCACCTCTGAACCTTCGCTGCCGCTGCCAGATGCAGAAGCCATTTGGTTCACTGGTAACGTGGATAAGCGTTAACGAAGCCTAGTAAGGCGCGTCCAAATTGTGATTAGAAGCCTCACCACCATTCAAGCTGGAGCTGGGACGCCTCAGGTAATTCTGTCTATCGGGAGCCGGTCTAGATGGTTCATAACGTGCGCCAAAGACGGAAGAGGCAGTCCCCGCATTCAAGTCGACTCCGATAGTTCCAGATTCAGATGAAACGGTCAAATCATTTTCTGTAATGCGCTGTCAATAGATGTGCGAGCCAGTTGGACGCCCACTCACCTTTTCGCCGCCGACGCCGCTTGCTTGGCGGGTCGTCCGCGGTAGCTGGATGCTGCGGGCCTTTTGCCAGTCTGATTACCATCCGAGTCGTCTGTGTCTAGGGAAGCGAGCGCTGACGAACGAGCAGTGGGTCGACGAGGTCGTATGCTTCGTCGAGGGAGGGACATGGCGTCAGGACGGAGTGTCTGGATCACCGCTCATACGCCGGTGGTTATAAAGACGAGGAGCGGGAAGTGTAACTTGAATCAAACTGCCGTGTTCCGTCCAGTCCTTTGATCCATGAGTGATAAGCTTCAGGCAATCCGGGCGATGAAGTGCGGAAGTTGAAACTCGTAGCAACGTGGAGGAAGTTGAATCAATTGCGAGCAATGAGCGGTTACAGGATTTGTCAATCTTATGAGGTGAGAGTGAGTCCATCTGTGTTACATAAGCCGACGGTCGCACGATGCGTTAGAATTAGGGCTGGTCTACGATACGACTACAAATTTCTGTGACGAAGACTTTGCCGTCTTGTTCATTTTATTGGAAGCACGGGTTCCATCATTATTACCCTCCGTTTCTCGCAATAGAGTCCCACACAGACCTTCCTTTCGACACACTCTTCAGGCTCCCCCACACACAACCTGAGCGTAGAAGTGTAGAATAAGCGGAACTTCTGCGATCTTTCCATACGACAGTTCAACGCGATCGATGGCATGCATTAGGTATGCAGTCTGGGATGAGGTGAGTTGTGAGGAGAGGAAAGTAAGTCTGGCCAACGTTCCATTTCATCTCTTTTGAGTATTGATTCGAAGTTGCGGGTAGTCGAGCTCCACGATGGCCCCATCTACCCAAGTCTCGTAGGTGGCCGATGGGTTGTCGATCGCAGCTGAAAGAACGGAGTTGGCAATTCGGCTTTTCAGATGAAAGCCGTCCCAAAATGCTTTGTACTCCGTCGCAGGGATATCAAGAATGTACCACGCTTCCTTCGTTTCGATGTACACTTGTCTTTTGAACTGTGAGAACCATCTTCGAACCACAACCTACTCGTCCAAAGCCTCCTCATAATGGTGTGCGTTGAATCCAATTATGTCGACTTTGATGAAGCATGTTTCGGTTTCGGGTCAGATTCATTGTCCCCAAGTTGGTTGGCAACTTCCGTGGCCAGCCCGGCGGCACCGAAGAGACCGATAATGTCGTCTCTGTCAATTTCCAGAGGGTTGACCAGCTCTCGGCCATCAACCTTGAATATAGCGAAAGCAGAGAGTCTACGAATCGGAGTGCCGTCGTCTTCGCCGCCCGTTTCTTTGAATCGGGCAGGTAGTTCAGATTCGTCGACGGGGATGCGGCCATAGTAGTTGAAATAAACGGGGTCCTCAGGATCTAGGAGGCCCTGAGTGTCAGCTCAATAGAAAAAAAAAATTAAAGAAAAATACCGGCAAAAATGTCCCGGTCATCTTCGTCAAAACTATTCAACGCAACGTTTTTGGGGGGCTCAGAGCGGGGAGGGGACGGGCAGGAGTTGATAGATACATGGGAAATTCGAGAAACAGTATCGCGGACAAGCCTATCGTTACGGGGTCGTTTACGAGGCGAAAGATTGGGACTGGGAGATCGGGAGGACGAGTCTGTAGGAGAAGGAGAACGAATTCGCTTTTGCGGGGAGCGCGGCGGAAGTAAAACGTAGGGAGCAAGTACCATGAGCCGCTGGGCGATCAGCGGAATGACTGTACGGTCAGAACAAGGAGCAACACTTTGGTTGAACTCAATGCATTCGGTGTGACGCCTCGCGAAGTCACGGTCACGCCCACCTTTCCCTTCAACCATGTCGTTGCTCCCCTACCACAATCCGCACAACTATGAATCAGAAAAGCGTATGTTTCCTCGGAATCAAAGGTCATATATAGCAACGAATAGCCAACCGCGAACAAGAGAAGCTCGTCGTCCAACTGGAGGACATATGGCACTCCTCGGTATGATGTCCTAATCCTAGCAGGAACTGCGTATACTCATCATATCAACGCAGGACAATGACCAAGTAAAAACTCTTGTCCGGTAGATCTGCGGCAATACTCGCCGCTATGTCATTCTTTTCAGCGAAGTCGTCGACGATCTGCTGCGTCTAAATCCTCCCACCAAAGACATCAGCGATAAGGACGAGGTCATTGACGTGATAATGCATCAACGACGTGAGCGGAATGCACAGTTTCCCAGATCATATTCTCCGACGATTGTGAGTTTTGAATCGCATTTTCTCCACTTGTTCCCAACGTTTTCCAAAGTAATCTTTACTTCAAACCACTGCTCAGCGACGTTGCTCTCGCCGTCCATGAAGTGCATAGTGCCCATATTGGACATCTCATCACTGTTCGTGGGATCGTGACCAGAGTATCAGAGGTCAAACCACTACTACAAGTCAACGCCTACCCTTGCGACGTTTGTGGATCGGAAACATTCCAAGAGGTCACAAACAAGACTTTCGCGCCACTCTACGACTGTGGCAACACCGAGGAGTGCGAGAAGAATGGCGTGAAGGGCAGTTTGCATATGTAAACACGGGCATGTCGTTTCAGTCCGTTCCAAGAACTCAAAATCCAAGAGATCGTAAGAATATATTCGCTATTTGTATCTCTCCCTGATCACCACTAGGCTGACCAAGTTCCTGTTGGCCACATCCCCCGTTCCATGACGGTCCACGTCGGCGGGAGCCTTACACGCCTTATGAACCCTGGCGATGAGGTTCATCTTGGTGGTATTTTCCTCCCCTCCCCTACACCGGTTTCCAAGCCATTCGTGCTGGGCTTCTCACGGACACATACCTTGACGTACATGACGTTCACCAACAAAATTAAACAATATCGCGACATGGAGACAACACCAGAGCTCGAAGCGAAGATGGAGCAGCTCCACGCAGGGGACGGCTTATACAACAAACTGGCCGAAAGCATCGCTCCTGAAATTTATGGCCACTCGGACATCAAGAAAGCGCTTCTGCTCTTACTGGTTGGAGGGGTTACGAAAGTTACTGGTGACGGGATGAAGATTCGTGGCGACATCAATATTTGTCTTATGGGTGATCCTGGTATGGCCAAGTCCCAACTTCTGAAGTACATCTCCAAAATTGCCCCTCGGGGATGTACACGACCGGTGAAGGCTCTTCTGGTGTTGGTTTGACCGCGGCCGTTATGCGTGATCCTGTTACAGACGAAATGGTCCTCGGTGCGTTATTTTTACTTTTCATTGAGTTTTAACCAACCAATCATCAAAGAGGGTGGCGCACTTGTGCTTGCGGACAATGGAATTTGCTGCATCGACGAATTCGACAAGATGGACGACTCTGATCGTACTGCCATCCATGAAGTGATGGAGCAACAAACCATCTCCATCTCCAAAGCCGGCATCTCGACCACCCTCAATGCCCGCACCTCGATTCTTGCAGCATGCCAATCCTCTGTACGGTCGGTATAACCCGAAAGTCTCGCCTGTCGAGAACATCAATCTCCCCTGGCATTGTTGTCGGCGTTTTGACCTTCTCTTCCTGATTCTCGATAAGCCATCCCGCGACGACGACGAGGCGTCTCGCTCGGCATGTCACATACGTCCACATGCACAACTATTCCGGCTGATCAAGCAAATGGCGGGTGCTGGGGAAGGCAAAGAGACAGCGGAGAATGGGGAAAGGCCCCGATGGGGAGCGTGACATAGCTGTCGATTCCGATTCGGACTCGGACGAGTATTCGGGCCAGCAGGAGGTCTAGCACGGGTAACTGCGGCTGGCTTTACTGAGGCACAGTTGAACGAGACCATAATCAAGGTTTGTTCTCTATTCCAAGCACCTGAAAAGGACACTAAAAGCACGTCTACAGTACGAAGACTTGAATGTCATTGTTCGCGTTGCCAATGGTGCTAAAATACGTTTCGTCGATGCCGATTCATAGTGGAGAGGGGATACTTGCTGTTGATTTAACGTCGTTGTCCTGCTTTGTCTGTTGTTGTACTCTAAAGCTATTCTTGTAGGGAGTTAACGACCGCCACGATATTGGGTCCGTAAAAGAGACAACTCTAGAGCACCTGTCCTTGTCATCTCATCATCAGGGCATTGCAGGCAGATGAGCAAGGCGAAACAGCCTACTATGGACTGCTACATTTTTCTCCGCTAGTCTATTGAACACATAGAATATGACGCACTAAGCAATACAGAATGCGCAATATAATTTATCAGTACAAATCACGGCCTCCGGTCATCGTCACGATATGCAGGAGACGTCGCTCGCGGTGGGTACTCATGCTCTTCGTCATCAACAGAATGGAACCCTACGGACTGTTGATAAGGCCCGCTATTCAGCCCCGTTCGTTCATCGGCTTCGTCGTCTGAATCATCTCCGGTAACAACGGGCCGAGTTCGGTCGGAGACCATTGACATCGGGGCATCAGCCGGGGTTGATCCGTCTAATGGAAGTGAGATGTATTGCTCCTGAGACTCGTCGATGGTGTGGCGGTAGCAGTAGCGCCACATGAGTACTCCAGAGGTGAAGCTGAGCACGAAGAGAGAGAATATGCTCAGCGCAAGCCTGGTTTTGAGTGATTCGATTATGCGAGCAAGCTGTGAGGAGACGGCCTCGTCGCTAGGACTGGGTGATGGAGCACTGGGGGTAGTCTGTAGTTTGGTAGCGTCTTCAAGGACCTCTGAATCGACAGCTGGTGAATGGGAAGGCGTCGGTGTGAGGGATTTGATGGAGGTGGTTTCGGAATGGGTAAGATAAATGGAGGGTTTGATGAAGGATTTGGTGGCTGAGGGTTTGCTTGGGCGAACCGGCACAGGCTCGTTGTGTGGCGGTAAGAGCGGCTCAAGGTCAACGAGCTCGTGGAGCACTGCTTTTTCTCGTCGATGGCGGACCCCCAGAACACCATGTCCCAACCGAGAACGTGCCATTGCGTTCAGGGTTGGCCAAGTCAGAAACAGTTATCATCCACTGTCCCACTGAATCCTCGCCCCTGAAAACGGATTTTTAGTGAGCAAAGCGGCATAAAGAATGGACTCACCGATGTTTTACGCTCATGAATGTCCAGCCAGGGAAGCCTGTAGTTGCTCTATCTCCGTGTCTTGGTTCTGCCAAAACACTGGTGACACCGTTCGGACTCCTCAATTCAACCCGCACGTCGCCTCTCCGTGTATGGTCAATCCAAACACGCACGGTGATATGCTCGAGCTTCTCTAGATTGGCATCCTGGACCACATCCCACTTGATGTCCATCACACTCGTTACACCGCCCACACCGATAACCTCGCCGCCAGAGTAGTTTCCCATCGGGTCCATCATCCCTTGTTCAATTTGGATCGTTTTTGTGTGCATCCGTGTTTGCGGTTTGACGAGTTTCCAGTTTTGCGCCGCTTGCACAAATGCCGTGGCATCCAACGCGCCATATCCAAAATTTGAACTGTAGTTCCGCCCAGCAGCGGTGAGCTGCCATTCTTCACCATCACCTATTTGGCGTGCGTTTTCAACACAAAGATGCTGGATGTCGCGCCATGCAGGACCCCTTTGTCGACACTGACTGTGCAATTTGGTGGTCCTGCACTCTCGAAACAGCTATCAAAGAGTCCAGTGGTGTCGGTGAAGAAACAGCCAGTCAAGTATCTCGTCAGCCTCTGTTTGAACCGATTCCAGGAATGATTCATATGCGGGATACTGTCAATTGGTGGTTAAATGGAATTCATTTTAACCCAGTCTTCGTGAATGCACCTGATTCCTCGAGGAACTTGGACAGCGCTGCTATGCCGAGGATCTCCGTCATCGCTATGTCTCTTGATGCCTTCTTTAGGTGGTGTCGGTTTTGGCTGTAGCGTGGGCATTCGCGAAGGATGTGTGTGTGTGTCTGTAGCTCCACCCCACAGGGGCAGTGAACGCTCTCATCTGGGATGAAACGGCTATAGAACTCGCCTGTGTATCCGTGACCTGTGCGGCATTGGATTAAACGAGCAAAGACCTCCCGTTTTCTGGCGAGTGCCTTGAAGTGTTTCGAAGGCTTCAGCGATGGCCTGATCTTGTCAGCTAGCGTGAATCCGCCCTCTGCTTTCCTGTTCTGTTTCCACTCACCGCGCCAGTCCCTTTGCAACTTGGCGTTGGCTCTGGTGCCTCGCAATTCCATACCGCGCTGTGTGCCTTCTTTCGCAAGTTCGTCCGCCCTCTCGTTGCCCCGTATATCTTCATGTCCAGGGGCCCACGCGATCTCTGCCATTCGGTCCATGTCGTCATCGAGCAAAGCCGCAACCACTGTGTGGAAACGGTGGGCGACCAGGGTCGTGGTTTGGGATTAAAGATGGTTTTGATGGACGAGTCACAGTCACTTCGTTGCCTTCTCTCGACTAGCAGCTCTCTGCGCTCAGCCTCTGCGCTCAGCCTCTACGCAATGCCACAAACAGAGTCTAGTGTACCTATCAATAGGGCACCCCTAGAGATCTTGGAAGAGATCTTACGACTGTGCTTCCAACCACATCTATCAGAGAACGACTTCTACAACCCAAATGTTTGGGGTGTTCCCCATCTATCTGCGGCTCCGATTCAGGTCTGCCGCCTATGGGCTCAACTGGGACGTCGCTATCTATACCGAGTGCTGACCATTCGCCGCCGCCATCGGAGCAATGAAATTCACAACCAAGTGTTCGCAACTTTGGCGTTCACTGCTCCATCTTTTGGCCACTATGTCACGATCCTTCATATAGAGGGAGGTTGTGGCCATGGTCGAGCAGGCCAGAACCAAAAGGTGCAACAGATAATCGACATCCTTCAAGCTGTTGCCCCGACTCTCCAAACTCTATCCATTGCACTCGATTTATTTCAAGGAGATCAGGTGGCTGGGTTTGCCAAAGGCCTGACATACTTGAATCCTTTGTCTCTTTTACTTCGAGATTCGGTGACACCACGGCGTTATCGTTGCTGGTATCATCTTCTGCACGCACTGGAAGACAGTATTCCCAAGTGGTCAAAGTTGGTACGTACTTGTCAAAGTATATTCTTCCTTGGGGCTTATCTTTTGTTTAGAACACTCTTCAAATTCCATTTGCATCAGAGCATGCTGCACATGCTTTGCCCCTCTGTGTTGGAGCTTCAAAGCTCACCCATCTTTTGGTCCGAGATACACAGATGGTCGATTGCTTATACCCTAAGCTCAAGATATCCACTCTGAAGAAAATCACAACCTTTACTCGGGAGGAAAGGGTCAAGTTTGCGAAGCGTGATTGGTTTGAGATATGGTTTCCACCTCCACCATTACCAGGTTCCCAAGGCAATCCATTGGATGTAGATGCCTGGGCAAGTGAGTAGAGTAAACCAATTTGTTGATGCTTTGTAATCAGCTATTATTTTCTCCTAAAATCAAACATAGTATGATGGGGTTCCGGAATAAATAGTGCCCATTTCAACTAGGTGTCGCCGGCTGCGAGGCACCTCAACCTTGCTTTGGTAGTGATTAGTAGGAGCCATGAGCAAAAGACTTTTTGGTCTGACCACCATGGAAAGACAAGGCGTGCACTCGACACGACGACCTGCTCCGGATCCCATACGAAATAATTATTTCCTTCAAACATACTTTGGTGAGACTTGAATGCAGGCACCTTCCTTTTTTGGATGTCAGGGAGGGGGGTGATGTAGGGGATCTGCGACGACCTTTACTAGCACTGCAGGAGTTCCGGAATAAACAGGGCCCCTTTCGATCGATTATATGCCTAAAATCAATGTACCAAAAAAGAAATTTTTTGATTACCTCTATTTGTGCCCCAAAAAATTATCACAAATTCACCTGCTTATATGAGGAATAGGTGCCATAAACAGACTTGGTTTTTGTCACCTCATTTTGGGGTATATCAAATGGCCTTTTTTGGACCTTTTTTGCCATCCAAATGGGGACCAAAAAATATTTACTTATATGCACTTATATGACATATATCAGGGCCCTGGATCATATAAGTGAATATTTTTTGGTTCCCATTTTGATGCAAAAACTAGTCCAAAAAAGGGTGTTTAATCTGCCCCAAAACCGGGTGACAAAAATAAGGTTCATTTATAGCATGTATTTCTCATATAAGCAGGTAAATTTGGGACAGTTTTTTTGCATGCAAATAGAGGTATTAAAAAAACTACTTTTTTTGGTACATTGATTAGAGGAGTATAATCGATCGAAAGGGGCCCCGTTTTATTCCGGAACTCCTGCAGTGACTGCTATCTTAAGATTTACTCTCGAATAGAAGACAAAAGATAGGAGAGATTAACAGAGCATTCCACTAGTAAACAGGCCCAACAGTTGAAAAGGTTTGAAGTTACGTTTGTTTGAAAAGGTTTGAAGTTACGTTTGTTTGTATAACGGTACATGGCTCCATAGTGTATCCATAGGTCGTGTCAGACTGCGGGTCGGGCCGTGCAAGAACCTCTCCTAAGAACGCGCGCCCGGAACGGAACAGACGGATAGTCGGGCCCGCAAGTACGGCGGGCGGGGTAGATCGAAACCGAAAGGGCCCGTGAACTCGGTCCCTTGCCGTAGTCGGTGGTCGAAGGTTCGAATCGGGTCGTGTCGGGCCCGATGAGTCGATAGCGCCTCCTTGCACGGAGTAAGGTAGTTCTTCAGACGATCTAAGCGATAGGGTACAGGGTACGCTATCGCGCCTTATATACGCGGGCCCGCAAAGGGGGTGATCGGACACCCTGGCCTCTCCTCCTCCTCCTCGCTCCCATTCCTGGCCGCAGAGGGGACGATCATACATCCCTTGCGGGCCAGGCGCTACTCCTAACCTCCTAGCACTCCTCCCCAGTCCCCTTGTGTCGAGTTGGGCTCGGCGACGGCTCGACGCGTCGTTCTCGGTCACGTGCTTCCCACGTGTGCGTTCCTCCTACTGGGGCGCATGTTCCCCGTCGTCACGTGCTGCGTGTTACGGGCCCGCAATGGCCCGACACCAGTGCCGGAGCGGACGGGCCAGGTCTTATCCGTGACATCACCCCCTCCCTAGGAACGACTCGTCTCGAGTCGGCGTGGCTCGGTTGCCCCGGTTTCTCGGGTTAATTTGACTTTAGCTCGTCCTTCCAATCACACATTCCATCCAGCCCATAAGCTTAAGCTAAGCTTCGGCTGCGCGTTTTAATCTCCCGCGGCTTCTGTAGCCTTGTGGCGTCCGCAGATCGATTCTTCCTGTCCATCAAGTGTTTCACCGCGGTCACGTGCGGTGTAGCGTAGGTGTTTTTCAATTCAGTTGCGCGTCCTTTGTTCGTATTGGTTGCGAGTAGGCTGTGCTGCGCGCCTCGGTCGAGTTCGATATAGAACGAGCTCGTTCTCTCATATAAGGCTGGGGCTTCCCCTTCTAACCTTCTTTATGGCGTCCCCCAACTTGTACCGCTCCGGGTTGTTGCCCCCCCTTGGCTCTCAGATGGTTCCCCCGTCGTCGGAGCCTGGCCGTCTATTTGTTTGTTTCGCCTCCATGTCGCTCGTCGAGTTTCCTGCTTCCTGGCCCATTGCGCAAGGGCGAGACCCGTCGTACCGGGACTCGTTTGAGCCCCTCCGCCCCTTGGACGACTTGCCTCCGTCCCAAGCCGCCGAGTACTCTGCTAGGCTATTCCCTCGTCTGGCCCCCGTCGTCCGCTCGCATCGAGCTCCCACTCTCCCCCGTCCCTCCTGCAGCGCCTCTGCTGCCGTCGTCCTCCCCGCCGGATGCTGTGGCAAGGCGAATTCGACCGTCTAATGAAGGCCGGTTTGTGGCAGCCACTTGTCTTTGGGCCCCACCACCTCTACTTCGGCGTTTTATTTGATGCGTTCCCCTCCTCCTTCGTCTGGCGTCGCGAGGACGGCTCCCTCCAGGATGTTCGCCCCTTATTTGGGCAGCTGGGCCGTGGCCTTCTCGCGCACCTCCTCACTGCCGACGCTGCTTCTCCCAGTGATTCGTTTTTTCCCCGCCTGTGGCGTTGGGTGGTATGTCTTCCTCTCTGTTTGCTTTCGGCCGTGTGCTGACTGTCTCCGTTCAGCGCCTTATCTTTCACGCCTTGTCTTGCGCCGCCTCTGTCGGCCTCCCCTCCTTCATCTCGGACCGGTTCCCCATCTTACCCCACGTGGCTGCTTTTCGCATGTTTCCTGAGGAAAACGTAGCCACCCGTGGCTGTAGCCTGTTTCAATCATCCCCGGGAACTGCCAGAAAATCCGATTCCATCATCCCTGTGTATTGCCAGGTCTCTGACAACACTCAAACCCCACCCGTTTCCGTGCTTCCTTGCCGCTGATCTCCGAACTCCGCTTTATCCTGCAGCTTTGATATCATCATTACGACTGATTTGGTCCGAATCATACAATTTTAACATTGTTCTCTACATTCCCTCTGCCATAAATGTTCCCTCTAATATTTCCCGCTCCTCCTCTGCTGCCCAATGACGGACAGCAGCTCCCATTGTTTTGTCCCACTCCTCTCCGAAAGCGCACTATAAATTCAGTATGCAGGTACACGTTACGCAGCGCATAAGCTCGGATTCCAGCCGCCGTCGTTCCATCAACGTCTGAACGAACTTCGTCGGCTCGTTTTTGCCATTCTGAAGCCTCCCACTTCAATGATCGCATGACCCGCTTCATCTCCTCTCTGCAACAATTCAACCTCCTCGTTCCAGCGTTCCTTCCGTGCACGTGCTTTTGCCCACTCGACACGCATAGCTATGATACCACGTTCAACCGAAAGCAAATGGTCAACAAGCCATAGTTACTCACAGTCATGAAGTTCAACCCCGTCGGCCTGCCCGCCTGCTGCCCAAATCCAGGAAATTGGCGCCGTCTTGGTTTTCTTCTTTTTTTGCAGCAGTCTCCTCTCTCGTAGGTCGCGATCCGTCTGCTGTTCGTAAGCTTCTTGCTGCATCTTCGTCACTCTCGATTTCGATACGAGTGTTCAAATGGGCCTTGTCCAATTTTTGAAACTCGGGAGCGTAACGTTTGCCTTTGAGGTGAACGAGAGCCTCGTAGCCTTCAGTATATTTGGCAGCGGCCTTCGTTACACCTTCTTCCATCCGAGCCATTAGAGTGACGGAGCGCGTTCTTGCACGTTGCCCCACCATGTTTTCCCCGGAAAACCAAATCATGTGTTGCTTCGAATGAAGCCTCCCTTGTAAGGCAGCCAGTGCATCTGCACACTGTCCCCGACGCAATTTCGCCTGGTCTCAATCAAGTCCGCCATGCTGACTTGTCGACACTCTTCCGCGGTTAACTGTGACGGAAGATAAAGCTTTGCGTTTTCCGGTTTGCGCGTCCTCCGCGTCCAATTTATACCGCTGCGTCGCAAGACCCTGAACCCCAGGCATGTAAGTTAGTTGAAGTTTTTCGAAGGTGCGCATTTGTTTGATCAGAGATAGACGTAATTCTTGTATCTGGCTCGCTTGATCTGCTGACTTTTTTTGCCTTCAGAGCAGTCCGTATACGACGCCTGGGGATAGTGAATAGAGTGTGTGGAATGAAGACTTTGACATACTGGATGGCCTGAAGCTGCATACCCGCTCTGATGAACGCTGTTATGGTCATTTTACCTTCCAGCAAAGGTTTGATTCCGGCTCGTGCATCTTCCACCTCAGCTCATTTCAACTCTTCACTTATTTCGCGTTCACTAGGCCCAGCTGTCGAGACAGGTCATCAATGCTACAACAGGTATTCAACGTCATGCATACCGAGCTTCCCACCCTGGACTTCAAATGGATTCGTCTGGGTGTTATCCTTATACCAGGCATCCATCATCTTGGCCCATTCACGTCGTTTTTTTTTAGGAACGCTGTCGTCCAGCTCCTGGAATTCAATGCCCTGCCTTTGACGCTCTGCTACAGCGACAATCAAACGTCTTGCAAGTGTCCGCCCTTGCAAATAGTGAGCTTAAACTCTCAAAGAAACCTTAACTGACCCATGCTCCTGTTTTTCTCAAAATTAATCAGGTCGATCTTGTCCTCCAGGACATCATGACGGGCGCCTTCTCCCATTTCCTTTGTCGACCAACTTGCGAGATTGAGTAGGCTCCACAAACGCTCGGTGCTTTCCCCATCCGTCTTTCCAACACCCAACAAGTACCTCAGCACATTTGTTGGTCAAGAATAGTTTGATTAAATAGCTACTCACGCCTTCGACTCCGGAACCTTGTCCCATCCGGAAGGCAAGTTACGAGAAGCATCTGGGCATGCCCAGCAACGCACAGCCAACGCCCCTGGCGGCGTAGTTACAATTCCATTGGCTTCATGCCCGCGACCTCCACGCTTCATCATTTTAAGATAGCTGTATTGTCGAGCCATTCGACCGAAAGCAACGACGATCTGGGACCTTTTCCAGTCCGGTTGAATCCGTCAACTTCTCCAACGTGCGCACATAGTCTTGGACATTGATGTTTTGCGATGGAGCGCAGGAAGCGAAATGTCTCCAAAACGTTGAAGGTTGCACAGGTCGCAGGGTTTGTTGTCGTGGCCGGATACCACGCATTTCGAAGCAATTGTCTGACGGGGTCGAATCCGAACGGATTCACGCAGCCACAGTACTGCACGTCCAAAGTAAAAATGCCATTGACATTGATGACCACCAACGGTCGACGGTTACTGGGGAATGGGCATGGGGCACCGTCATGACCAAGTTGAGAACAGCCCGCCAAACCACGAGCTCCATGCAGGATGGGTCCGGCATAAAACAAGGAGGCCTTCGTCCAGAAGTGACCCGTCCATTCCTAAACAAGCTAGGTAAACAAGTAACAAAATCGGTGAAGAAATAAATACCTGCAATTCATGGAGCGGCAATTTCTGATGAGCGGCTTCCACACAGGTCTCACAATGGAGTCCGTCCCCACATTGCTTGCAGCGAAAAAACGGAGCCCCGTCTCCTCCATATGATTGGCTTGACAATTCACACATTCTTGGCATGCGTTAGGGTTTCCGAGACCGTCTCTTCGTAGCATTTCCTCCAGAAAGAGAGCCGTCAGTGGTTGCCACATTGCCATAGGATCGTCCTAAGGGAATGAGCTTCTGTATAAAGTCGTAGTATCAACCGACCGATGCATAACGTTTTCTCTTCAATGTCGATTCTTCTTCCAGTTGAATCTCCAACGACGACACAGTATCCACCAGCTCTCTTACGTCCTCCAGTTGCGCATCTGGGAATGGCATCCAGTCAGCGAGTTCAGGTTGAGTTTCAATGACCTCTTGATTAAGGCGAGCCTTTTTTTTAGGCGATGGATTTGTCTGCTGGCTCAGCACGCGCTGTCCATCCAGAGAATAATGAACTTGTAGGTGGTTGAATTCCTCCTCAGCGGCGTCGTCAAAATATGTGTGTCGCACAACGTTGGGGAGTCGAGGCATGCGAAAAGATGGAGGCATCAACTTGATGCGCTGTCCATTTATTAATCCAGTTGTTCCTCCTCCTATTGGCATGCAACCGCCGCCTCCGCCTCCAATTCCTCCTGTCGGCTCGCAACCGCCCCCAATTCCTCCCGTTGGAAGTCAACTTGTTCCTCCTCCTATTGGCATGCAACCGCCGCCGCCGCCTCCAATTCCTCCTGTCGGCTCGCAACCGCATCCTCCCGTTGGAAATCAACCTCTTCCCCCAACTGATGCGCCTGCATGGTTCCACGATCTACACAACAAGTTGATTAGGATGGAAGCGGGCCCGCAATATCATCACATGTTGCGACTGCTGGGGCAACTAGAAAGGGCCTATGGCTGGATAGACAAACAAGCATCACTGTCTAATGTTGATCGACCTAGCCAGGTTGCGGCTTGGTTCAAACGAGCTCGGAAGTGGACGGCGGCCAACGATGACATTCGTATTAAGGATGTGGCTGTTTTTTCGACCCAATGGCGAGCTTGGTGGACTCGGACAGCCCACCCACCTGGCGCAAGGGACCCGCCGGGAGAACTTTTGCGGGTGGCATCGGATGGTCGAAGTTGGGGAGATCTTGCCTTGCCAGGCAAGAGCGGAATGTCAGTCATCGTTGCAACCCTTGGGTGGTGGGGACATGAGCTTAGTTTAGCTAAGCTGCCCTTGTCGAAGTTGTGGGAGGAGGCAACTGCGGAGGTGACCTGGGTGCTGGAAAATCTTGTCAAAGATGCTCCCACAGAGATTATCCGACTCCGTGCTGACTGGCAGCAGCAGGAAGCTAATGGACAAGGCAAGAAGGGAAAACGTAAACTGTAGTGTAGTCGCGGTTTGTGTAAATAGTGAGAATGTCGAGTCAAGTTGTGAAAGAATTCGTCAAACTTGTTTTTTTTTACTGAGACTGATTTAAATTGTTTCTGCTCTGTCGTAAACTGTAGTTGTGTGTAAATAGTAAGAATGTCGAGTGAAGTTGTGAAAGAATTCGTCATGTTTTACTAGGACTGATTTAAGTTGTTTCTGCTCTGTCGAATTCGCGATTCAAATCAAAGGTAGTCAATTTTTTAGATGAAGAATAAGAATGATCATGGCAGTCGTTGGGCATGCTCGACTATTGTTTGTAACATCAGAAGTGACCTAAAGTGTAAGAGATTGGGACCAACAAACACAATTTGATTAACTGTGATTGCCTGACTGGCACCCGTGGTCCGTGTGATTGCGCTGGTGACGGAGTGATATATCACCTATTTGGCAGCTGCCAGAGCCTGGCTGCTCACAGAAGCTTTGTAATTGAATGGCCTGACAGCTGCCGGGTCATGTTTGATATATATTACAGCTATGGCTCACGTAGCTCGGCCCGATACGCTGGCCAGACTACTGGGTCCTCTCCCTCCGTCCCTCGTCCCGCCGTTCCTTCACACCGACTGGTGGTCGTCCCTTCGTTCGGGTAGTTTTCTTGCCTGATCCTTGGGAAGAGTTTGTCTTCTCGGGCGGCCCTTCGTTGGATGAGGCGGAAGCGGGTGTTTCGTTCAGCTTCCTCCCGTTGGCGGCCTGGTTGGATGATCAGTTCCCGAGCCCCGAGAGTGATCCGGAGGGTGCCGAGTCGGCGGCCTCGGTGGTGAGGCGCATCTCTCCTGCTCCGGCGGTTCGGGCACGGTCTTCGCCTTCGATGGAGGTCGACGTGGAGCGTGATGGTGCCCCGCCGGTTTCGACCCTGCTCTTCCTACCCTCCGACTCGGGTTCGGATTCGGATGTGGAGGTGATCGCCGGCCCTCGTCGTTTGTCTTCGGTGGGGATCGACGCCTCTGAACACGAGTCGGCTACGGATGCCCTTGACCCTTCCTTCTCCCCAGCCGTGTCGCCTGCCCTGTTACAACGGGATCTTGGCACTCCCCTGGCCCCTCGGCTTGTGTCCACCGGTCAATTGGCGCTGTTTCGCGGGGAGCCTCCCTGCCTGCCCGGAACCGTGGTCCGGTCCCTGTCCCCTCGCTGCGACTACTGCATCGCCCACGATCGCCTGTGCACCGTGTGGGACGTTCTGGAGGGTTCCCCTCAAAAACTACCCGGCCCTGTACGTCGGGCCTGCGACGCCTGCAGCCCCCTTCATCGCGCCTGCTTGCGCTGGCGGTCGTTTGCGGATGCGTATAAGGCCCACTCTACGGACTTGCGCAATTTCTCCTTCGAGTTTTGAGAGCGTCAAGTCGAGGAGGGCGAGTTTGAGTTGTTGCGCCCGGACCCACGCTTTGCTGACTTGGTCGGGTTATCTTTATCAGTCCCTTACCGGTCATTCCTGTTCTCCTATTGGCCTCGTTCCAACGAAGATTTGTTCAGGCGAAGCACTACCCCGGTGGTCGGCCCTTCTTCGGGCCGTCGTCGCCGCCCGGTCGCCCTTTCGCCAAGGTCTTCTCGGGACTCTTCTCCATCTCCCGTGCGCAAGCGAGCTCGCACCCGCTCGCCACCATCGCCGGGTTCGTCCCGCCCGAGACCTCGCCACAACTTCCGCCGGCCAACCTCCCCTGTCGCGGATCACTCGCTAGGAGAAACGTCTTTCCGGCCGCACATTCCTGCGGGCAAGACCCGCCCCCCTTCTTATCCCACTATGTGAGAACATCCGGAGAGGGAAGGAGTTGATGGAGCAACTGGACTTGCTGAACGCCACAGGCAAGCTCGTGCTGAACGCCACAGGCAAGCTCGTGCAAGAGAAACCAAAACTGAAACCAAGACCACGAAAGCCGAAGTCTGTATCAACAGCACCACCTCGGCGTTCTCTGCGCAATAAAGACAATGGGAGCGAGGACGTGACGGAGGATAGCGATATGGCAGGACCGCCACCTTCAAGCAGTGAGGAGAATGAGTTTTCTGATGCTGCTGCTGCCGACGAGTCCAATCCCTCTATTCCCAGCGACAACGACCCGCTCAACATGGATGTTTCACCTGTCGAGCTCGACAATAACGCCTTGCAGCTCGATAAAGCCACAGCCTTAAACGCCAGCCAGACCGAAATCGTAACCGACAAACCCGATGTGTCCAGCCAGTCGGACGAGCTTCCCGATCTACATGCCAATTCCGATGTACCCGACGCCACCAGTAAAGAACCCCTTGAGAGTGCCGCCGAGCCGCCGCTACCAGCAAAGATCTCAAATCCCATTCCTCCACCGCGAGCTGGCGGAGGACTGCTGAGAGAGCTCCTCCGGCTGGATAGGGCCAAGGCCCTGACACCAATTCCTGCCTGTCCTGAAATGACATCAACCTCCGCATGGCTATGCAAAGTCTATGATGAATTTGCGACGGTGAATCTGGGTGCATTCTTCAATGATTTGCTTGCGAAGTACCTGGCATTGGAACGGGCGTATAAGTACGCAAATGGGTCTGACCGGCTGGCCGCTGACCAGCGGCCGCCCCAGTTAGCAGAGTGGATTCGACATAAGCAAATTGCCAAAGCTGCCTACTGTGAAATCAAATCCATTCCGATCTTTGCGAAGCAGTTTTAGAGCTGGTAGATTGGGCTGCAGCCATCATGGTGGGGCTTAACGGCCGAGGGGTGGCCTGGGAGTAAGAAGCAGAGAAATGAATCGTGGGGCGGACTTGTGGCCCCTGGTATTAATGGGATGGTCACTGCTGTTGTCATGTTGTACTGGTGGGGCTGCGCAGAGAAGATGTGATGCGACTCGTTCTCCAGGGTCGCGGGAACAGCGAAAGAGTTGGTAACCATAAGGTGGCTCGGAGTCACTGGGTTCCAGCAACTCGCGAGCAAGGTAGCCGTCTACGTACGGCAGGACGGGGTCTCTTACAGAGGACCCGGCTCTGAGGCTGAAGGTACAGACCGAAGGGAAAGAGTAAGACAGGATGAGAGCTAGAAGCAAGGTTTATACGCGCGTGACTGCTGGTCATGTGCGGCTGTCAGGGGAACCTCCCTTTCGGCCCCTCGGAGACGATTCCGATTCCGGTCCGACTCCGGTTCCGACTCCGGTGATCGCATCACCGCCTCCGTCAGGCGCATCGCCGCCCCCGCCTGGCGATCCCCCTGGGACCTGGCCTGCGACATGGCGCAGGCATACTGCACGGCAACAACGATCAACCTTGGCGCGTCAAAGAGCGCAGTATATAGTTCCGCTACCTAGCAGGCGGACCCTTAGAGTTTCTTCTCTTTGGATCCTCCCCTGCTAGGTCAGCCTCACTTGTATTTGCTTACTTCTATTCACTCTTTGGATCCTCCCCTGCTAGGACCTTGATCTCAGGCCTCCGGGGTTGCCCTTACAGCAGAAGAAACTCTCTACGGGATCAACCGGACAAGATTGCCAGGTTCGGGCGCTGACTCA